AGGCTGTATCTGCCAACAGTCCTGTTTTGGAAGTGGCAATAGCAAACGAGGATGTGGAAGAATATTGAGCCTGCACTGATGGAGGCAGATGCTTTCCAAGGGAGGTCTCTTGTTCTACCTTTATTGGCTGAGACAGCAAAACACACATGCATATTTCTGTTTGTTCTGATTGGAAGGTGAGAGGGCCAATACGTGTCCCCTCATAATAAAAAAACTGAAGCAATAGATAAAGAATATATACAACTCACTCTAAAGTGGAAACCAAGCTTGGCTTTGTTCTTTTAAAACAAGGAGGTTCCGCAGAAACAACTTGTCCCAAAGAGGTAAACACAGCATCCATGAATTATACACTGTTAAGTACTCTTAAAAACACATCATTTATACCAGCAGAAAGCACAGTACCATAGTCTCCTTATTTTGAGAAGTATTGGCCCAGAAAGCCTACCGTGCACAGAAGCATGGCATGAAAATAAGCTAGTGGGTAGGCACACTCTTGGCTCTGTAATGCAAACTTTGAACAAAAAAAGCTCAGTTTCAGATTTATACAAACCACACATTTTGATCTGCCCCCAGCCAACTGCAGTTTGGTGGCAGAAGATCCTCTACTTTGTTACTGAACTCTAACAGAGATCAACATTCAAACCCTGCAGAGTTCACACTGAAGAGAAAAAACAGACAACACAGAACCAGACACAAACTCAACCTGTTCTAACTAACAGTGCTCAAACTTTGCAACACCTGAGGCTGCTCAGGCAAAACTTGATAGATGAATAGGGAAGATTTGCTGTGGTCAAGGCTCCAAGCAATAAAATCTTTGTCATCTTTACCCTGCGGTTGCTGGAAAAGGATGGCTACTGTTCACATTTCAAGGCTCCATGGACCACATTTAACCACCCTTAAAGGAAGAACACATCAATATCACAACATACTGAGTACTGCTTAAAAAGAGTAGCTCCCCAACTGCTCATCCACTGCAAGTGTGCTATTTAACTTCCTGCATCCCAAGTACCCATAGACTTACATTAAAACACAGCAAATTGTAATCTTCAGTCCCAGAGAAGGTGCTCTAAATTGACATCTAATCTAGTATTATGCTTCTCTGGCTGCAGAAAGATGCCTGAGGGTGGTCACCTCCTACACAAATGGACCGTTTGACAGTACTGATTTATGGGGTATACATTGGCCTTGTTCACATCCCCCAGTTTAGGGCAGATTGGGGAGTTATTCTGGGTTTTTCAGGGGCCATGGGAAGCAGAGCACAAATCAGAGCAGTCTCAAGTTTGCTCTGACTTTCATTAGGGGCCTAGCAGACAACTGCATAGCCCCAGAGTATAAAGAGCTCAAAGGTGGCTTTGCCCCACTCATTCCTGCCTCAAACAAAGGTAGGGAATAGGGTTTCTAATTTTGGTTGGATGTATTCCTGGAGATTACATGACATGATCTTTAAAGATTATCTTAAATCCTGGAGACTCCAGCGGGTTGGCAACCCTAGCAGGGAGTAACCAAGAATCAGGCCCCTGGATTCTATTCACATCACCACCACTGACTTGCTGTAGGATCTTGAGCATGGCACTCAGGCACCAGGAGCTTCTGCCACCTCCTCCTCTGTAAGAGGAGATAATACAATGTCTACTCCCCAGGAAGTTGCCAGGCTTAGTTTTTAAAAAATGAAAACTTACAAAGTACTTCAAACTACTCACTGACCCACCACAACAATGTTGCTATAAACATTTGTTTCCAGATTTTTAAAACACCAGTTCTGTTCTTTTATTTAAAAAAAAAAAAAAAAAAAAAGCTGTTTCAATAAAAACAAGTTGTGTTCCTATTTTCTTAGGAAAGCATTGCTGTTGTTTTCAGCAGTTTGCTCAAGATTAATATAACCAGCCTTCTTTTAATACCATTACTAGAGTGCCACACCATGCCCCAGACTCTCTCTTCAGCGTTAATAACCCCACATCACAAAACGCTAATCCGAGGCAGAAAGGGCCCTTGATATGCGTTTTTAAAGACAACAGAGAGGAGTTAAAATACAAAACAGCAGCACTCTTCCTCCCCCACAAGCCCAGCCACATTTTATCCCAATTAGGAGGCCCAGAATGGATTACGATTCCCAGCCCATGCTTCCCACAATTCCCCCACACAGAACTCCAGTGTCACACAAACAGCAATAATGACACACACTCATCCATGCACAAGCACTTGAAGCTAGTCATGTACGCTGTACACTTAGCTACTTAGAACTAGTAACTATAACGCTATCAACACTGGACCCGGCCTGGGGATTCACAAGTGGTTGGTGCTGATAGGCATTTATCTAGAGATGCAGCCTGGGGCTAAAAGTGACTTTGTATCTCCAAGAAACACTCTTTGCTTTCATCATTTTTCTTAGATATTCATCGCTTTAAGACACTGCCAGTTTTAATCACTTAAACAAGAGTTGCAGAGTACCTAGATGTTACAGTGCTGAATCATTTTTTCCCTCCCATGAGAGACTAAGCCCTGATTGTCCATCCCCTCCCTCCTACCCACCCCCGCCATCAGAGTGTAAGCTCTTATTTACAGTATTTTTTCTTCTTTGCAACAGGGACAGCCTTTTTTGTTGTTTCTGTACAACACCTAGCACTGTGGGGTCCTGGTTCATGACTGAGGCTCCTAGGTGCTATAGCAGGGGTGGGCAAACTATTTGGCACGAGGACCACAGCTGAGTATGGAAATAGTAGGGGGGGGGGCATGAATGCTCACGAAATGGGTTTCGGAGGGGGTGAGGGCGCCGGCTGGGGGTGGCGCTTACTTCAAGCAGCAGCATGTCCCTGTCTCCAACGTGGAGGTGTGGCCAGGCGGCTCTGCGCACCGCAGGAGCCACCTGTGCAGCTCCCATTGGCCATAGTTCCCAGCCAATGGGAGCAGCGCTTGGGGGTGGGGGCAGCATGTAGAGCCCCCTGGCTGCCCCTACACGTAGGAGCCGGAGTGGGGACATGCCGCTGCTTCCAGGAGCCACGGCACGTGTGGAGCGGGGCAAGCCCCCAACCCCGCTCCCTGGCTGGAGCAGGCAAAGCCCCGGACCCTGTTCCCTGGCAGGATCTCGAGAGCCAGATTAAAATGTCTGAAGGGCCGGATATGGCCCCCGGACCGTAGTTTGCCCACCCCTGTGCTATAGTAATACTAATAATAAATAAGCATCATGAAGGATTCCAAATGGAATCAATTTAATCAACAAGGTGCTTAAATATGTGCCTAACTTTAATCTTAGGTTAGGCATGTGTTGAATTGAGGCCTTAATGTTCACACAGCACTTTGAAGATAATAAAGTTCTAGTACCTTGTCTACATAGGAAAGTTTTACCAGTTACACCAATTCTGTAGTTACACTAGAATAGCTCCTGTGTGGGCACTTGTGGTATGAGTTACTTTACTGAGCTTAACTTAAACCCCTTCCTTAATGAAGACTTAAAAAAAAAAAAAAAAAAAAAAAAAGGTGGGGACACTCATACTATAATGGGGGAGAGAGGTTATACCAACATAACTACAGAGGTTTACATTTACACCCTTTGGTTATACCAAAAGAACCTTTCCCATGTAAACAAGGCCTAAAGAAGGAGTATTACTCAACACACCTCTCCGGGTGGAACAAAGCAACTATTAAACAATGCTCTGTAACAGCATATTCAGTTGAAACTGCAGGGGGAGGGGCTAGTTAGAATGCAATTGATTAAACTGCAATTGGACCTGCACATGTTAATTCTACTACTGCAAGATGCCCTTTTAATGGCCTCAAGTGGACAGGACCTCCACTTTCTGATTCATGTGGAAGATAGCCCATCCAAACCCATCTTGGCAGTATTTTGTAATTGATCCAGAGGGAAGAGTGCCACCTGTGTATTGATGTCACCACTTCCTGCAGCACCTTATCTTCCTCATTTAAGTACTGGCTCAGTTGGATCCTAGTTAGCAATATCAGATCTAACAACATTACAGCTGGGCGATATAGGAAACCCTGTCACATTTTAAATACTGTTAACAGAAGCCAAAATAGGCCCTGGTGATTTCGATGGAGCTCCATCACAGGCTCAGGAGTCTGTTGCAAGATCAGAGCTTCACTCATCAGGGAAGGTTGTAATTGAAACCATGAGATAATACAATATACCAAAAAAAGAACAGGAGTACTTGTGGCATCTTAGAGACTAACAAATTTATTAGAGCATAAGCTTTCGTGGGCTACAACCCACTTCTTCGGTAGCCCACGAAAGCTTATGCTCTAATAAATTTGTTAGTCTCTAAGGTGCCACAAGTACTCCTGTTCTTTTTGCGGATACAGACTAACAAGGCTGCTACTCTGAAACCTGACAATATACCAATGCCCTTTAATTGCACGGTTATGAGCTTTGAGAAAACTATGTGTGTGGAAGGGAGGGGGGAGAGACACTAAAAGAAATTGTTGTGAGAACATCCCCATCAGCCCAGTAAATCAATATTAAGTGACTTATAGAATTCAAAGTGGATGATTTAAAGGGCATTGCACAGTGCAGGCAGACCTGTTTCTTAAATAGCAACACTATGGTTACAGGAAACTTTCTCCCATGTGGAACTAATTGCATCTCAACCATCATAGTCAAGCCCTGCTACAACTTTAACTCCCAGAGAAGCCTCTCAAGGTTGCCTTCTTGAGCTTCTTTTCTCTTGAGCCTCCAGAAGATTCGATCTGCTCAGCATTTTTGAAGTTTTAAGCAGATCTTTTCTCTCTCCTATTTACGTGGAGGTGGGAACTAAGACAGACTCATGCACACTCTCTCACTCTGCAAATAAATTCCACGTAGGCTCTTCGAACCCACCCCGGCGAACATGATCAATTACAAAACTTGGGGCTAATGTACATGAACCGTGTGAGTGCCCGCCCACTTCCCGGAACCCAATAGGACCGAGTCCCGACAGGCTCGGCAGACTAACGAGACAGAACATTCTCATTCATTGTCTAAATCCCCGAGAGAGAGAGGAAATACTTACAAACAGAAGGCTGGGTGCAGCGTTAACAATGGGGCTGCCCCTGCCCACGAACGAGAATCGCTCTTAGAAAAAGCCCAGGGAGAAATTAGCTGGTGAGAACGATTGTAAAGAGCCGAAGACCGGGAAACAACAGCACCTAAGACAGAGTGACACAATGACGGCAGCACACAAGGAGGATCGGTGCACAGCCGAGATCAGCACAGGAAACGAGACTCACCCAGGAGCAGCCCTGGAGTCTGCTTAGTAAGTTTCACCAACTTGGGTGAAAGGCAAGAGGCTGCCAAAAACACAGGCGTTCCTCGGTTGGTTCCTGCCTTGGTTAGTCTATGAAAGCGGATCCCATGTGAAAAGAAACTCCCCCGCGCTCAGTAAATAATGACACCCGATTCTGCAGAGCGGATTTCCCTGCCAAGCTCTCCAGTGGTGTGCAGCTGCTGTACTCCTTCTTGGCAGCACAGGAAATGTACTAATCATGTCTATCAGGCCACGCCTCTCTTTCGCAACAGGACGCACACACAGGCAGGGTCATTTTACACAAAGGAGAACTTCCAGGGAGTATTTGCCTGAGTTTGCCTCTCCTCCTGGACACAATTCTACCCTGACCTCTCCATGCACATTAGCTAGTTCCTTATGACATAATCTAGATCTTTTTTTTTTTCCAACCCATCTCTCTAATGGTTTGCAGGGGGAAAGTTCATATACTGGCCTAAATTTAGCTAAGAGAAACACCCAGTAATTCCAGTCACGTGCATTTTTAGACACTCCCACCAGTTAATTTTTTATTCAGTTTAATATGATTCCTCCCCCTCCACACCCACTATTTATAATACTTGTAACACTCATCAGCCTGACAGTGGCTCAGCTGAACTTCATACACTCCAGGAGATTAATTAAAGCACACAGCCTTCCGGAGAGGTTATAATTAGCCTAGTTCCAGACCTGCCCCCCTCTATGCCTTGTTTTAGATTGATTTTAAATCAGTTTTTAAAGTATCATACACAGCATTGCTACAATCCTCATTTTAATCACAAGTCTTTCACTATTTGCTGTTTGCCTTCAACCCCCCAGCTCCTGGAGGCCTGTGACTAGGTGACAACAATAGTGTAATCATGCCTCAGAGGGCCCCGGTGCAAGAATAGATTAGGGGCCCCCTTCCCAATTCTGAAATCTAAAATTTTGCTTGCGCCCCAATATCCCCATTTTCCCCACAGCCCCACATCCTCCACTCCCTTACCCCCGCCCACCAACACCTAGCCCCTAGTCCCTCACCCATTGCCACGGGAAATTTGTTAGTCACTCACCCCTACTTCAGTGTTCTGCCCCATCCCAGCCTAAGGGCAGCTGCTCCCATCACCTGACCCACCCAGTCACAATACCAGCCAAATTTGAGTGATGAGTGGCATCACAACCTTGCAGGTGGAGTCAAAGCTCAACCCGGGTTTGGCCCAGCCTCCCCTGCACCATGAGGCTGGGCCAAACCTGAGTGGCACTAAAACCCCATGTTTCAAGTTGCAATGCCACTCGCTCACATTTGACCCACCTGCCTCCTCTGCAGTGATGGGGATGGGCAGCAGGGCCAACTTTGAGTGAGTGGTTTTGCCAAGTGAAGTGCCAGAATGTCATTCCATTCCCTAACCTTCTTTGGGGGGGTCAGGTTCAACTGTGCCATTGTACAGTGGAACCTCAGAGTTATGAACACCAGAGTTACTAACTGACCCGTCAATCACACTCCTCATTTGGAAGCAAAGTACACAATCAGGCAACAGCAGAGACCAAAAAAAATAAATAAAAAGCAAGCACAGTGCTGTGTTAAACGTAAACTACTAAAAAAATAAAGGGAAATAAAAAAGGATTTGACAAGGTAAGAATACTGTTTCTGTGCTTGTTCCATTTAAATTAAGATAGTTAAAAACAGCATTTTTCTTCTGCATAGTATATTTTCAAAGCTGTATTAAGTCAATGTTCAGTTGTAAATTTTTGAAAGAACACCGATAATGTTTTGTTCAGAGTTACGAACAACCTCCACTCCCAAGTAGGGTGACCAGATGAGATGAAGAAAATATCGGGACACTGGGGGGGGGAGAGGGGGGAGCAAAAAAAAAAAAGCAGAGCGCTGCCGGCAGGCCGAGCAAAAAAAAAAAAAAAAGCCAAGTGATCCCGGCGGCGCAAAATATTGGGACAAACAGCTCAAAATCAGGACGGTCCCGATTTTATCGGGACGTCTGGTCACCCTACTCCCAAGGTGTTTGTAACTCAGAGGTTCTACTGTCACTATGCCACAGTGGAGAAAAGCTTGAAAACATTTAACTGAGGACACACTAAAGGCTCAGCAACCAAAGAAAAAGAATCCAAGAACACATTTTTAAAAATGTCTTGTGATTTTTAAATCAATCTCCTCCTGGGAGGGGGGGGGGGAGATGGACTAATTAATGGGTTTTGAACACTTGCACTTGGTGATAATATTCAGAGAGGTGAGAGTAATCATATCATCTGGTTTTCTGGGAACACTCCCACGTAAGGGGATTTCCCCAGTCTTCTGATTGTGTTTATGAAAAACAGCTCCCTGTCCCTACCAGTCCCTGAACCTGGCAATCATTAGATAGCTCAGACCACCTTCACAGGCTGCCCCTGGCTATCATTCGATTGCTGTGCTGAGATCCTTTACATTGATGCCTCTGCTGGTCACCGGGACCAGCTGCTCCCTGACGGTTACCACTCAGCTATTCAGGGAGCACCAGTAACTTGGCTCTCCTTGGTAGGCTGGACCCTCCTGACCCACAGAGTCTCTGCTGGGTGATATTAGCAGGGATCCCCAGCACAATGGCTCTTAGAATTAACACACCACAGAGATACCTGGGGCACTTCCCACCCCTCAAATTTAAAAAAAAGGAAAAAAGGTGAGAGTCTGATGTAATTCCATGCCCCCTCGAGCTGGAGCCTAAGGCACAGGCCTTATGGTGTCTATGTCTTGGTGTGGTCCTGTTGAGTGGTTCTGCAGTGAGGAGAAGAGATCCAGTGGTTCTCAACCTATTTACCATTGTGGGCTGCATATGTGGGCCACATCTAGTACTACCTGAATGGCCCTGAGGATGTCACATGGGCCACAGCTCTGTGCTGATTGGGCCACAAGCAGGCCGCAGGTTGAGAACCACTGACTAAGCATTGCAGGATGCAGTGCTGGCCGTTGGTGCCTTCTTCTCTCCAAGATGCCCTCTTCCTCTTTAACAGTGCAGAAAGTTGGGTGGGAAATGCACTGTCACACTCACACCACTCCTCTCTGTACTGGTGTATGTCGGCAACTTCTCTAATCTCTATCCATGCCCTTTGCCTGTGACCACCCATCTCCCCTGCCAACATCCCAGACTTTCATTTGAAATGATCTGATCAACAAGGAAGGGGGTGGGGAGCACAGAGGGAGTCTAGGAGGCTTTGGCAGCCTCTAGCCATGGAGATTCCAGCAATCAACATTTTAAACAGAGATTCCACATCCTTTGTGACAGGCTTGTGAAAGGGTTGCTGTTATACTGTATGCACGGGACATTAGATTAGGGTATATTTTCACCTTTAAGAGTGGGGACTACCGCAGCGGTCATTCTTAAAAATGTTTCAATTGCCTTTGCCACTAACCAACCAACGTTCCCTCTATATTCACAATATCGCCTCATTATAAAGTTTAAATAGTATCCCCTCTATTGCAGTAAGTGCAACTGCAAAGGCAAACTTGTAAAGTCTGTAAAGCTTTGCTTGGCCAAGGCTTCAATTCTCTCACCAGAATGAAGATGCTGACGTGGAAAACAAGACTGATGGAGATGCAAACAGTCATGTTTACACATAGCTCATCAACACCGTTTCCTGTGGCCATCACAAAACGTTTCCTGACATTAATGAGGGACCAGGAGAAGTTACTGGCATGGGGCACAGGGACCACAGCTGTAGTTTGGCTGAATCAAACAGACAGTAGGATTAGACTGGACCATTTATTTCAGCTAACTCACATTGTAACTGCTATTTCATATTTCTCCATATTTTCCCCCACCCCATCTCCCTCTAGCATTTCCAATTGGGTGGTGCATGTACTGGCTCATCCACTAACTTAGTCTCAGATGTAACAGGCAGTGTACTACGGGAAGTGATTGAGGAACATTCATTCTCGCTCTCCAAGAAGAAGCTTGATAAATAAAGGATTAGTGTGGGAATGACAGTGAGTCTATTATCCTCAATCCACATGGACTGAACCATTGTCATTCCCACTAATGTTTTATCAAGCATCTTCTCTGTAGTTCTATTAAATTAGTAATTTCCTCCCAAGCCCATTTTTATAAATGCATATCTATGGTGTATTTATAAAGTGGCCAGACTATACCATTCCCCCCATTAATCCCATCCCAAATCTCCTATATTAGGAAAGTAAAATGGACGTAATGGTAAAAAGAACTCAAGATTATTGGTCTTTCAGCAGCTCCTGTTATGTCTTTTTTAACAAGTTTCTTCTAGCCCAGTAAGAATCCATGGTGTTCAATTTCTGGCACATTTATTTACTATGCAAATTCTTTGCAGTACACCTTTAGCACCGACCCTCCTTGCGACTGGAGAAGCAGTGACATCCAGTGGTGAAACTATACAGAGTAGATTTCCTTGTATGTCTGCCTTAAAATGCTCTCTTGTTTTGTAGGAAATAAATCTGAAAAATGCAGGGATGATTTGTTGGAATTCTCTTCTTTTTACACAAGCTTATAAATGGCACCAACTGCAGGTGGTCTCACAGCAACAAGAATATATAACTGACAAAGTGGAAAAAAAACACAGCATAGAAAACAAACAGAAAAGACCCTGTCATGTAGATAGTTTACTAGATGACTTAAAGGGACACTGTAAACCTGAGATCTACAACATTTTTAAACGAATGAGTTAAAAGCAGTTTCAGCTACTAGCATCTGCCCCCAAGTCTTCTGGCTAATTTGGTGATTTCACAACAGTATTCTGTTGTTTAAAAGGATGTTCTCATATTTGTGTGGGGAGAAAGAAAAAAAACCAACACAAACAACCCATCCCCAGACAACGGGAAATAGGCTATAGTGAAACAGACCTTACACAAATTGCTTTCTTTCACAGAGTAAACTAACTGAAAAACTAGAATTTGCTTTCTGATCTCTTCTAGTTATAGTCATTTTACCATACGTTTTACTTGTAACTAAAGTAGGTAAACAATTTCCAGACCAAAGTGATTTAAAAGTTGAGGATGTCTCTTTAAAGGAGTCGCTCAGATTTTGTTTACCTATTTATTAAAAAAAAAAGAGCAGAACAAATGAAAGAAATGTAAGAAGCTGAGCCAGAAGGGGTCACTGATGCTGCACAGCAACCATCAACACAGCAGCTAATCGCAATGAGCAAAAAGACATTGAATTTTTACATTCAAGTAAAGAATATTGTGATAAAGCAGCTATTCAGACTCCTCCTCCCCTGCCCACACATTGCAGTGAGGCAGATTCACCAGGTGCTCTGTTATCATTCCAAGTAGATTTTGTTTTTCCTTCGCATTCTCAAGATCACTTGCGTTATTTCCTAGAGACTGTCTGCTTCACACAATTTATCCAGTTTCCTATTAACTTTCCCTCCCAACCTATTCCCTGTTTCTCTCCCAGTCCTGGAGCTCTCACTAGATTTTTTTCAGTCCTCTCTCTCTTCACTATTGCCGCATGTTCAAAAAAGACAGGCCAGGCCCCCAGAAGTCTCACAATTGGTTTAAAAATCATGGGATTTTAAGATTTTTTTTAAATTCTACTTTTGGAGTTTGTTTGCCTTTTGAACCTCTAGGGTTTGGGGGTTTTCTCTGAAACCAGGAGAAACTGGAAACTTACATTTTAAAAGACCGAAAGAAAACTGAGATGCTGATACAGCCACGACTCGAGAGTCTCAGGCTTCAAGCAAGACACCACATATCACCGGAGTTGGTAACACTGCCCCGTAACTGCTCAAGTCCAACTGCCATGGGACATTCTGATTCTAACATTCTCTTCCTTCTCCGGCCGGAGGCATCACCTGAATAGTCTATGTGCTGTGTCTGACCTGACAGTCCCTAGGGGTGACTCCAGTCCTTGATAAAGCAGCTGAAGCAATGCACAGGGCCTTTTGAGAGGTATAGTCATAGATCAGCCTGGCTGAACAGGGTACAGGGATACATATAATGCCCTTTATGCAAGGACTAAGCATTTTAAGCCTGAAGTGGGACAGGATGAAAGCTGGCTTCCTGCCTCAGTTTCCTTAACCCCACTGGATGGCAGAAGAAATGGATGAAAGTGTAACCGTGACTTGGATGGGTCATGCAAGGGTTGAACCTGCAAGCTCTGGATCTAAAAGCATGACCCCTCTGCCAAGAGAGCTACATGAAGGTCCATTATGTTGGAGTCAACACCAGACTTAAAACCTCTTACATGGTATAGCCACTAGAGAGGGACATAGGCCCATGTTCTGGCAAGATGGGATACAAAAAGCACTGGAGTTTCTCAGCACCCCACAATAACAGTTTATCTACACTCACAAAATGTAACCTTTTAACTATATCAACATATTAAAATGGTACAACCTTCCCAGTATGGATTTCATTATAGTGGTATGAAGGTACTTATACCAGCATAATTTATAGCTGTAAATTATACTGCTATAGCTTATTCCCATAAGGCACCTTTATGCTGATCTAACTGCATCCCCACTGGAGGCTGAATGGGTTTAATTATTTCAGTAATAAACACACACAAACTGAAAGAGTTAAATCTGTACATAAACTGAGTGTAGACCAGGGGTCGGCAACCTTTCAGAAGTGATGTGCCGAGTCTTCATTTATTCACTCTAATTTAAGGTTTTGCGTGCCAGTAATACATTTTAACATTTTTAGAAGGTCTCTTTCTATAAGTCTATAATATATAACTAAACTATTGTTGTATGTAAAGTAGATAAGGTTTTTAAAATGTTTAAGAAGCTTCATTTAAAATTAAATTAAAATGCAGAGCCCCCTGGACCGGTGGCCAGGACCTGGGCAGTGTGAGTGCCACTGAAAATCAGCTCACGTGCCGCTTTCGGCACGCGTGCCATAGGTTGCCTACCCCTGGTATAGACCAACTTAAGATGTAGGAGAGTCTAGGGAAATTTCCTGAAGAAAGGCAGAGACATGGGCAAGAATGGTTTGCTTGTTCTGCCGGAGGCTGACTAGGGCTAAGAGTAAGCTGTTTGTGGACATATGTTTACATGACATTTTAATAGACCCGAATCAGAGAAGGGATGCTGTTCTAACAATATCACTGTCCCCATCCTAAGCATCCACACTTTCTTTTTAAATTTGGAACGGTGTGCAAAAAGTACATCACAGCCTCTATTAATGACCTCACATATTAGACAGGGTTACCCAGAGTAAGGTCAAATGAAATGATTATCTGATGTAGAAGCTGTATTGCATTTGGACCCCACACTAAGGATAGAAAAAACAAATTTCAAAATGATGGCAGTAAGCAAGAGATGGGCTCAAGTATGGCTTTCAAATCAAATGGCTTAATAAACATGTGGGTACCAAATTTTAGATGCCATAGGCTCACGTACATCTTCATCACACAGGAAAAACAAAAAGGTGGGGAGGGACAGCGGTTTAGTCAAAATAGTTCTCTCTCTCTGGGCAGAAGTATTTAAAAAAAAAAAAAAGTGTCCTGAAGAGTGTCATTTAAACACTGTAAGAGTTTTAAATAACCTAGATGTGCTAATACTAGTCTGCAGTGGTTGGGAAATTTTAGATTTCTTTGCAATTGCCTTTTTTAGCTGCCATGAATAGACAAGAAGAGATCTCTCGAGTTGAGAATACACTAAAAGAAGAAACACACACATAGGTAGCAAGCGTGACATGAGCCACAGTCAAATTTAAGACTCTGTTTTCAGAGCTGTTAAGTATCCACTCCTCCATTAAAGTCAATCGAGTTAGGGTTCACAGATTTTAAGGCCAGAAAGGATCCTTATGATTATCTAATCCAGGGGTTCTCAAACTAGGGGTTGGGACCCCTCAGTGGGTTGTGAGGTTATTACCTGGAGGGTCGCAAGCTGTCAGCCTCCACCCCAAACCCCGCTTTGCCTCCAGCATTTGTAATTGTGTTAAATATATAAAAAAGTGTTTTTAATTTATAGGGGGGGGGGGGGCGTTTCGCACTCAGAGGCTTGCTATGTGAAAGGGCTCACCAGTACAAAAGTTTGAGAACCACTGATCTAGCCAACCTTCTGCATAAACCCAAAACATAGAACTGCACTCAGTAATTTTTGCATCAGCCCAATAACTTGTGGCTGGGCTACAGCATTTATTTTAGAGAGAAATCTAGTCTTAATTCAAAAGACTCCAAGTGATGGATAATCTGCCATATCCCTTGCTAATCTGTTCCAATTATTAATTGCCCTCCCTGTTAAAATTTTCCATTTTGAGTGCTCATGAAAAACCCAAGCCCTTCATTTCCCCAAAGGCAATTAATTCCTTCCCCCATATCAGGTCTTTTAACAACATACAGTTAGATCTAGGTATTTGGCTGTACCTGGTACTGTATCTCACATGATCTGAATGTGTAATGGCAGGCCCACCTCCCAATATTACAGGAGAGCATGCCAGCAGCCCTGTCACTGTGTTGACATGTTTCACTTTTGCTACCTGATATGCACTTATTATTCTCTGCTGCATTTAGAATCCCTATTTCACTTATTACTGGGCACATCCCACCTTGTGGTCATTATCACCACCTTTTAAATAAGTCCAATGCTGACTTTTAATTTTCCTTACAAATCAGAATATGAAGCATATAAGGCACCATCTTCATTCAAACAAAGCCAATGGCAGAACTAACACTGAAGTCAAAAGGAGCAGGATTGGACCCCATATGTAAAAACTGTAGCAATCAGACATGTGTCTAAGATTCTCAGTGCAAGGAGAAAGTCTGGACAAGTTTTAATCTCTCATCAACACAGAGGCTTCTAACTATTTTAATAAAATTAGAAATTTGAAAACCAAGACATTTCATTTACATAATTTTTATTATCTTACAACCTCACTTACTCCTGCTTTAGCAATGTCCTACTCCCCAGGCACCCAGATATTCTTATTTTTCTGGCTCTAACTGGACCCATCTAGGTTACGCCTTAAGATTTTGGGCCCAGCCTTTCATTAATGCGGTAAAAGACAAAAAACTAGTAGAAACAGTGGGTGCCTGAGGGGCTACAAAGCACAAACAGGTCAGCTACCATCAAAGAGGTTGTTCATTTGTTGACTAATTTCAGAGAGAATCCTCCAGCTGAGCTATTACTGAATAGTCTAAGAAAGCAATTACACTGCATGTTCACATACAGACATGTTCTACATTTTCGAGCCAAGACTGAACATGTGTAACTATTAGTCAGTGTCTGCAGCTTGTGGTTTTATCTTCTCAGCAGCTTCAAGAACAGACTGAAGGCTCACTTTGTCTCCAAATTCTCTCTCTCGATGCTCCAAGAGAACACCCTAGTGAGAGGGAAAGGAAAAAAGTGCAGTAATTCCTTTTTACATGGGGATACATTTAAATAGAATGCAGTATCTAGGAACTCAAAAACGTTGCTTTTTACTTTCTATCTGACTGAGAAACAAGGAGTAAAAGACGATATGATCCAATTTCTCAGATACAGGATTAATCAAGTCAACCAAACAAATATATGAGTTTCCCCTCATATTACTTATGTTAGGGCACGTTATGCAAGGATACGTGTTGTGGCATTTTCTTATAAACTAGATAAACTCTTCTTACAGTACATTCACACTTCCATCTCAGGAAGATTAGTGCAAATACAAATTTCAAGTAACCTGATCAAGGCCATGGAAGCACCATTAGTAGGGCCCTACCAAATTCATGGCCAGGAAAAACGCGTCACGGACTATGAAATCTGGTCTTTTGTGTGCTTTTACCCTAAACTATAAAGATTTCACAGGGGAGACCAGCGTTTCTCAAATTGGGGATCCTAACCCAAAAGGGAGTTGCGGGGGGAGGTCACAAGGTTATTGTAGCAGGGGGTCACAGTATTGCCACCCTTACTTATGCGTTGCCTTCAGATCTGGGCGGCTGCGGAGCAGCGGCTGTTAGCCGGGCACCCAGCTCTGAAGGCAGTGCCCCACCAGCAGCAGCGCAGAAGTAAGGGTGGCAATACCATGCCATGCCATCCTTACTTCTGTGTTGCTGCTGGTGGCAGGTCTGCCTTCAGAGCTGCGCTCCCGGCCAGCAGTCACTGCCGCTCTCCGGATGCCCAGCTCTGAAGGCAGTGCCACCATCACCAGCAGAGCAGAAGTAAGGGTAGCAGTACTGCAAACCCTTCCCCCCCCCCTAACCTTGGGACCCCCTCACAACTCCTTTATGGGTCAGGACCCCTAAAATTACAACACTATGAAATTTCAGATTTAAATAGCTGAAATCATGAAATTTACGATTTTTAAAATCCAATGACCATGAAATTGACCAAAATGGACCATGAATTTGGTAGGGCCCTAACCATTAGGCTCTAAGCACATTTAACCAAACAGCAAGTTAGAAGTTCCCATAACGCATAGATATAGCTAAAACAGATTTACAGTAGACTGTGTATACATGACATTTGTTGCATACTTTATATAAATTATGTATACCCTGGTAGCACCCAATCTTCGGCACTTTCAAGACAGAAAGACACCCCCACATTCTAAATCTTGCTTTGACGATCTGTGTGATTACTGAACAAGCAAATGTTTCTTGGCAGCATCAATTACCCGGGACTAAATTTCCAAAGGTGGCATGCCAGCACCTTCTAAAAATCAGGCCCCCTTTAAATTGTCTCAGGTTGGGCACCCAAAAAATCACTAGTCGCCTTTGGAAATTTAAGTCCAAGTTTTTTGCTGTTTTAAATCATAATTTATGAAGTCTGCTACATATTTATCTCCATACTCTTAAATTTTACAAAACCATTTGATAAGATCATACTATACAGTAAGTCTTTAGGATGTTATGTTTAAAGATGGACCCCAAGTTGGATCTAGAGCGGATTTTTTCCAAAATGTGATGAACTATAAATCTGGATTTAACCACCAAGCCCATCTTTCAGGTATATTGTACTATGTTGTTTTGTAAACAAACCGAGGATGGTTATCAAAAATGTGGATCGATCATTCGTTCCATACAGCATTTGATTTGAGTCAATGTCATCATGAAATCTTTGTTTAAGAACATGAACAAATAGCAACAGTATTTAGGACTGAGGTTTCCCACCCCCACACACATCATAACCAGTAATGGGAGAAGATCACTTATTTGGTGCAAAGTCACCCCCAAATTTTAAGTTAAAAATGAGAAGTCATTACCAGGGGCACATCCACCAGCTGAGTGGAAAGTTATGTGAACTGTCAATTGTAATTTTTAAGAGAATGGTAGCTCATCAGTGAAGAGTAGCAGATGGAAAATCTCCTTAATGGGTAAGTGTCAGAACATTTGGAAGTGATTATAAGAGATTTGTTTTCAAGGGCAGCAAGCTGATTGAAGTTTGTGTCAGGCATTGGAAGATGTTCTGTGAACGTCACTGCACAAGACAAGAGATGCCCCAAGCCCACAACTAGAACGTAGTGCAGGACAGAAATTAGTGGCTGACTGTGGCCTTGTCATGTTCTAAGAGTAAGTGGCTAAAGCAGGAGGCCTTTGGTCTCTCATAGGGGCATGAAGGAAACTGAAGGGAAGAGGGGATGAAGAAGTACCTGTTTCCCAGCACCAATCACATAAACTCCTCCCAGGATGAAACCTTCTCCTTCCAGGTTACCACTGTATCCATTCTTCCAAGCGCGAAGGAAGTTCTGCCAAACTCCTAAGCGGATAAGACCCATCGACAGCATTTTTCGCTTGTGAGGACCATAGAACTTTTTCTGTAGGACGACAGAAAGAAAACTCAAACAAGAAACAACAGTGACAGAGGAGACTTTCCTAACTGTAATCAAGGCAGTCAGATAGCCTCTGCATCCAGAACAGTTTCTAACAAGTAATATTTGGGTATACAGAACTGAATGATGCCTTTAGTAATCTTATCAGGACAGAAGTTCCTTTAAAACATTAAGAGGTCACTTACTTTCCACACAATCAGCAACATCCAGTTGTTTTTGTCACTGCTGCCATTCCAGATTTATGGAGCTGATCAACCTACTACATTCACTTCCTGGACATCTTGACTGCTGACATCAGCAGCATGTTTTTGAATGAACAGATTTGTTTTGAACTACTGGGCAGAATTCCCTCTAGAATAGCCTGTCTTTTTTCATGTGCTGGAAAAAAGGGACGGGGTTGCCACCGCTCACCATTTTATTACCAGTCTCATGATATTGTTTTTCCTAAAGTCCCTGCTTTTGGAATCGTGCAATTGAGAGAACCTGAGCTTTCACTCAAGAGGCTGTTCCTAGAACTCAGTGTTGGAGAGATATGTTGGGAAACATGACCCAGAAAGATCCAAAAACAACAGAAGGCAAATAAAAGAACCATATATCATGATTTCTAAACCTCAAGATTTTGAGGGTGTGATGCATGATTTCTGAATTCTTGTGTTTGGCAACAGCATAAGTTTTCAGTAAACATAGCAACAAGCAGTTATATTATTACCATTTGCGCTGCAACATGAACTTGTCACACCCTTCTATTTTATTGTTAGTCCTTGGTTTTAATACCAGGATAATTATCAGACAGTGCATCCCAGTGCAAGAAAAGAGAAAAATAGTTGGCACGATCTTACTGTTTGCTTAGGTGTGTGTGTGTGGGGAAAATCATGCAAGAACATGTCAACAGTACACAGCAGAAAGACAGCTAAGCTTGTAAACTGAGCAAATTTATATATAGAAAATCTAAGCTGATTAACTTCTTAAGCTACAAAAGGCTATTAAATCAATTTCCAGATACCTAAGTTTCATTCAGGCCACACTATGCAGATTGCTTGAAAAGGCCTGGTGGATACAGATGCTGACTCAAGAAAGCTTAAAACAAACAGAGCAATACAAACATACCTTTTTATCCAGAAATATTTCCCCTTTGAAATAATGCTGAAAATCCTCCACTTCAGTCCCAATCTTTTCTTTCACAACAGCATAGAGGGGGACGCCAAGTTGGTCGAGCTGAGGTTTGAGAGAGGAAAGCTCAGAAGCCTCCTAGAAGACAATGTGTGAGATGCCAGGTTTAACTACTGGATGGAAGCCTGCAAGGCTCAACATTTGGCATGTAACCACTTAGGTGGATGGTGGCTAGAGGTGCAAAGTGGATGCAATGAAGTGTAATAAACAGGGCATATGAGTGAGTTCTAGACCTAAGCCTTCTATTGGCATAGAGACATCTTCACCAGAGATGAAGGTGTGATTGCAATGCGGGCAGGTATATGCATACTAACTTTAATCCAGATGGTGCAGCTAACAGTGGGTATGTATTCAGGTTACTGGCCTGTGCGAAGATCCATGCTACTGCATATTCACTGCTATTGTTACCCATGCTAGGTAGATTAAAGCTAATGTAGGTATGCCTACCTCTCTGCAATCACTCCTTCATTCACAGTATCCTTACTAGGGCTGACTTCACTAGGAGAGGGGGATAGCTTCAAGCATGTATTTGCAAAAATCCTAGCAAAGGCTAAAGCAAAAGTCTTAATTAATACTATAACTTGCCTTGTCCATGCTAGGATTTTAGCATTTGTTAAACACACATTCTTTCCTAGTGAAGATATGGCCACTGTGTGCAAGTCACTTAGCCTTTCTGTGCCTCAGTTTCTCCACCTGCAAAATGGTGAACAGGCATAAATGTACCCTTTTCATGCTGCAGCTTTTATCATACAAGGAAGAGTAAAAATTAGTTATTTTTTCTAGTGTATACAGTGAAACTGTGTTTCTTCTGCATGCACCTTCAGGATACCAGCAGTTATGCTGCTTTATGTGTCCCAGGCAATGTGATATACTCCGGGGGAAATTCTGTGCTACTGTGCACGTGCATAATTAATGAGCCATATAAGCATATTTTTAAATTTTTGTGCAGAAAAAAGCTTCTGTTGAAATGTTGCTGCGGTTCCTCTAGACTCAGACTCATAAGGGCTAGTGGGGGAGGACAGACTGGGGCAGGGGTTGAATGGGAGTGGAGGCACAGGGCCACATGGGGGAGGGAGGTGCAGGGCCACATTGTGATGCGGCAGGGGATGCAGAGCTACATACGGACGGGAGTGGCTGGGTGGGGGCACAGAGCCACATGGAGATGGGGAAGTGGGTGTCTGAGTGAGGGTGGATGGACACATGTGGACGGGGTGCAAGAACATATGGAGACAAGGGCAGATGTGCCTAACTGAATGGGAGAGCTGGGGAGGTCAGCCAGGGTCTGCATGGGGGAAGCTCCCTAACAATCCCTGCCCGTCCCCCAAAGAAACCTGTTCTATACTTTTCCCACCCATATCCAACAACCCTCCAAGTTCACACCCAGGCTCCTTCCCAGCAATTTACTTCCCTCTTCCTCAGCTTTTCCGTTACCCTTGACTCCCCCAAGCCTTTGCATTGCTTCTGAGGGGTGTGGTAAATATACTTCTGTATTGTAGTTTAAGTGAATTATTACTCCGAGTTCTGTATTAACATGCCTAGTAAGGAATCTATTTGTCAAAAAACATTTCCTGAATCGTTTTTGTTGTCTGTATTGTTACAGTGTTTGACAGGTATTTTGAAATAAATGACCAAAAATAATTGAAACTGGTGTGATTATAGTGTGTTATTTTGACAAATAAAATATGCAGAATTTTAAAATACTGTGCACAGAATTTTTAATTTTTTGTTGCAGAATTTAATTTTTTGGCATAGAATTTCCCCAGGAGTAGTGATAGCAGCACCAACACTAACCCATTTATGGGTTTTCCACACTGCAAAGGAAACTGTAAAAGCAGTTTGTGGAGGGGGAAAGTTTTTTCCAGCATCTCCTAGCCTCCAGTGCTAGTTCCAATGAGGAAAAGATGTGACAGAGACAGTGGCTGAGGGGCTTTTGTGGATTTTAAGGGAGAATATGGCCTTTGCTATGCAAAATAACTCCGACACCAGACTTATTGCTTAAAGGGCACAATCTGCATACAACCAGTTTATGAGGAGAAGCGACTGAATTGCCTTGACTGAACAAAGTGTTGCCATAATTTAGGGAAGATATCAAGAGTTCCAAGTAGAACACTGAGGGGAAGGCAGATGGCAAAATCCACAGACATTACAAGGCAGATGTCAACAGGCCAGAGTGAGTCTGTGTAAGGGTAAGGGCAGAGCTCCAATCTGCTACTGCCAATCCCCACACAGAAAGCTCAGAGGAGATAAAGAGAGGAAATAAGTAAGCATGAATCAGCCCTATGACAGTCAGTGAGTAGGGAATGGGAGGTATACTTAATACTCCTATTTTTGAATATATCCTTCAGGGAATGTAGTAAAGGCTTCTTGGACTTACTTCATCACCAACCCCCCCCCCCCCCCCCATCTGTTTGCAAAGTTCTGTTAATTCTTTGCTGTTTACCCTAAATCAAATACTTGGATTCTCTTTCTACAATAATTAAGCAAAACTCCAAGACAACTCAGCATGCACCAGCCACCACGGAGTACTCCCTTTAAAGAAAACCACCTCTCTATTCCATGATAGTTGTCTAAAATTCTGAAACGTGAGGCTGCAGACCATTACTGCAGTTTTGCTTATAAAAACAAAAAGCTCCCCCACAACCAGGAACCCATGTACCCCTCAGTAGCTTGGGGGTGGGAAGCCCTAGCACGTAGGTGGGGAAACAGAGACAGAGAAAGAAGTCAGAGTCTGCTTGGCTTTTTTAAACTCCCATCAAAGAGGATAATACAACTGTGCCCTGAGCATGGCAACATGTGCCCACACAAGATAACAAACCACTCCCTTGGGCAGGGTATGCACCTGGTCGGTCTAAATGAGAGAGGGAGAGCAGACTGAACAGCGGCAATTCCCATGCAGGGAGGAGAACCTGGCTCTGCCCTTCCCTGCCAGCTAGCAAACCAGGTTTGCACCAGAAACAGATTATTTCCACCCCCATCCACCCACAGCAAGAAAGGTGTGACCAGTGAGAAAAGTCAGTCTGTCACAGTTCCCTCCCTGGTCTGCTCATGGGATGGTGCAGAAACTACACCTCACCCCTTACTCAGGACACAGTGAACATTTGCAGCTTAGCCTATGGCATTCAGCATACCTCTGGCCTTTTTGCCCACTTAAATCACTGTATAATCATCTGCAAAACCAATGGTTAAACAGTAGTTTTCTCTTCCACGTCCATCTCAAGGGCAAGCTTCTCCCCAGTGTCCCTAGTGAGAACCACAAGGTAGAAAGAGCAGCAAGAGACTGACAGTGAGTTAGTCTCAGATCACCGACTTTTCCTCCTAAGTTGGCAACCTGCTCCCTCACATTTACATAGATATTTTTAAGATTCATATTAAAACTTGGTTAAAAGAAGTACAATTTAATACAGTGAAGACTGCTTACTGTCAGGAGACTGGATGGTTTAGGGGATACATGATGGTATACAGAGCTTTTCCCCTCTAGGTCACTGGCTCAACTCTACTCCAAGTCCACACGGCCCAATTCTCAGAGCACTAATTTCAATGGGATTTGTGGGTCTCGCCACCTCTAAGGGGGAGGCCCATAGTGTCACTACATCATGCTGTTGCCACCTGATGGCCCACAGCTTGGGACCTGTGTGAAGCAAACGGCTGGTCTTAGCCCCAATCCTTGTGGAAAGACAAGTATCCACATCTCTTCTACACAACCCCACCACTACAACTGAAACCACCGTTGGCCATCTCACCAGAGAAGGCAAAGATTAAGGAAGAGAGTCTCAAAGGCACAAGACAGTGGTAGCTGGGTACCTAACTGTCTTTTATGTCTTTGAAAAATCTCTCCCCCCTACCCCCCAGGGTGAGAGGGAGTGTGGCGCTCCCTAGTGGTGGTCCCCTCCAGTTCAGAATTGAGGTCCACTGTTGAGGCAATGGGTGTGAGGGGGGTGGAGCTTACTCTGTCCCTGCCTGCACGCTACCTGTTACTCCTGAGGGAATTCTGCACCAAAAATAAAAGTTATGCACACAATATTTTAAAATTCTGCAAAATTCTGGAAATTTTGTCAATAAATAAATGTGGCTCCAGCATGGTAGTGGGGAGCACAGGCCACTGGCTGCACTGAGGTGGGAGATCACCTTGAAGCCCTCACCTCCCCCCAATACAGAGACTTGGCAAGGAGGCTGCACCTGATCCTCACACAGGGCAAGGGCTGGGCCTGCCCCAGAAACGCCCCGGGGCCCTGTCCCTCTGCGCCAGGTGTGGGTGGGCAGGCTCAGCCCAGCAGGATCCAAGTGTGGAGGGGCTTAGTGTGGGGGGGATCCAGGTATGGGGTGAGAGGTTTCTGTGTGGGGCAATCTGGGTGTAGGCGGCTCAGTGGGAGATCTGGATGCACAGAGGCTCGTTGGGATGTTCAGGGTGCAGGGGCAATGGTACTCTGCAGGGGACCCAGGTGAAGATGGTTGGGGCTCAGGAGGTGGGGGGGGGGGCTCAGTGGGAGGGTCTGGATGCTGGGGGATTGGGGTTTGATGGGGTGGGGTCCAGGTGCAGCGGGTTGGGGATAGGTGGGGTAGGGGTCCAGGTGTAGGGGGGTAGGGCTTGTCAGGGTGAGGGTTCGATGGGCCTGCTTAATGGGGAGCCCCAGCTGCTGCCAAGGGGATGCCACATGGTGGGCTCCCACTTCCCCCCCACCCTATCCCCTTTTCTTCTCCATCCCCCTCCCCTCACTCCCACATTCCCCTCCCACCTGCCCTATTCCACCCCCACTTCCTTCTCCACTGCCTCTTCCCCCCCACCCACCCCGTATCCAGCCCCACCGCGGGCACTAACTGTTGCACAGAATAGAAAACAGGAAAGCTCCCAGCACACAGAAGGGGAGCACAACTGGCACTAGGACCCAGGAGGAGGCGTTCAGCTGCAGAGTCAGTGGAGCAGAGACACAGCCTCCTTCAGCTGGGCAGCTCTGCCTTTGCAGAATGGGGGGGAAGTGTCATGTAACCCCATGTGCCCCCCCCCCATGCTTTGCCTCTGTTTGGAGGGGGCAATCCCCCCCAAAAAACTGCACCCATGGTTGCCACCCCCCCACCCCACGGTTTCCCTTTGCTTCCCTACCATTTTCTGATAGGAAACACACAAATCTGCCGGGGGTGCGGGGAGAGCAGGGGGGAGGGAGGGGCACGGCACATTTTGTCCCGCAGAATCCCCCCAGCAGTAAGGACTTGTTCCATGATCATAGTATTTCAATCTGTCTGTCTCTTTCCATGAGAACTAAATTCACTGAAGCATACAACGCTTTCCAATATTATGCAGTGTAGGGACTAAGTAGACCCTATAATTAAATGGTTGCTAGACTAATTGCTCTGTTTTATTAACTGGTGAGTAATAACATAATTGCTAAGGTGGAAATATCCTAATAAGTGACCAAAATATAAGGCAGGTTTTACATTCAGTAGAGTATCGAACAGATCGTGAACAGCAGATGTGTGAACAGCAGGCTTTTCCTTCCTCCCTTTGAAAGAATGACTTTAATCTCCAGGATTAAATAAAACACTGACTTGAGCAAGTTGGTCATAGATGTTTCCCCCTCCCATGCAACGCTGCTGTATCAGTACCTGCAAGATTCCTGCTAGTCCGTTTCTGGGCTTCTCTTGACCACAGACCACCTATAGAGCCAAATTTATTTTGGATTTGCGGGGCCAGATTCTCATCCCATGTAAATCAGCATAACCCCATCAGTCAATAGATGTATGCTGATTTAGACCAGCTGAGAATTTAGCCCATAATATTGACAAATGGAGACCGAGATAAACGAAGCTCATTTTCACGTGGGAGCAAATCTGGGATTGGAAACAAGATTTTCAGATATGCAAAACTCGTGCTTTAGCTGACTGCCTCCCTGGCCACATCTAACACAAAGACACGTAACTAGAGCAAAACCTCTCTGAATTAACCCCCAAGCCCATCACAATACCTCTCTGCACAAAAAGCATCCAGGTCTCCGCACAGCCATGATCACTGCACCATTCTTCTTCCATAGCTCACCTGCCTTGAATGTTCTCTCTTCTGCTTATAAGGGAGAAATAGCATGAATTATGGCATCTATTTACATAACTACAACTTCTGATGAAGAACACTAAGCATGGTGAAAGATTCCCAGTTCAGTATTCCATTTGGGTTTATATTCTAATCAAGACAGAGGGGGAGATTTTCAAAGTGTATTTAAATTCCAATTAAATGTATATAAAAAAAGTCCATTTTAAAGTATCAGTTTTATTAAGATCCCTGAATTTATAGCAATTTTCAAAAACAGGTATGAATGGTCAGCTCTAGTTTTGCACATGGGAGTCAGCTCCCAGCTCTGCCAAACATCCTAACTTTCTGTCCCCTGCTTGGTTGCCTCCAATTGTATTTATTAGTGGTGCACATTTTGAATAATATTGCTTATGTTCTGAAACAAGAGCTACTGCCACAAACAGCAGCCCATCAGTTTGTGCCATAGAATGAAACCCCTCTCATTTTCAGATTTTCCACAGTGTTATACAAGTTTTGTGCTACTATAACACTACTGAACTCAACAGTCAAACGTAAGCAATGCAGAATCAGACCTTATGTCTGGACATAGCATTATGGTGTACAAGTTACTTCCCGCTCAAGCACAAAACATCCTCTTTCAGTCCTCCTGTGTACATCTGTCAATTAGATGTCAATGTGTTCACTTGAATTTTCCCCCCCACCCTGCAGTAACAGGCAATATTAATGACACTGAAAACTCTAAAGAGGCATTCTCTGTTTTAACCTCTATTGACTCCTGCATGTGACTTTGCACACCTGAATAATTCTCCACCTTGTTTTGGGCTTTTGTAATAGAATTAAACTGCACAGCACCTTGGGGAAGGGTTTTAAATTTTTTGTTTATGTTTACTCCGAGTCTGTTTTCACCCTTTAGCTCCTATCACAGGAATCGGCAACCTTTGGCCCGCAGCCCGCCAGGGTAAGCACCCTGGCGGGCCAGTTTGTTTATCTGTCACGTCCACAAGTTCAGCCGATCGCGGCTCCCACTGGCCGCGGTTCGCCGCTCCAGGTCAATGGGGGCTGCTGGAACGGTGTGGGCCGAGGGATGTGCTGGCCGCTGCTTCCCTCCGCCCCCATTGGCCTGGAGCGGCGAACCGCGGCCAGTGGGAGCTGCGATTGGCCGAACCTGCGGACACGGCAGGTAAACAAGCCTGCCCAGCCCACTAGGGTGCTTACCCTGGCAGGCCGCGGGACAAAGGTTGCCAATCCCTATCTTATCATCAGGCATGTGATGGTTTGGACAGGCTGGAAAAAAGTGCTCTTTGTGAAATAAGCAAATCAACAGGAAAAAAACATTTTGTATGTTAGGCAGAAAAATTATCTGGCTGACATGAAGAATGATCAGAAAGCAGCGAAGTCTGCAAAAGACGACACAGAAACAGGGAAGTATAGAGGAGGCCACATGGCCTAATGAAGAGAGCACCGGATGGGATTTAGGAGACCTGGTTCTATTCCCAGCTCTGCCATTGGCCAGCTAGTTGACCCTGGGCAAGTCACGTCACCTCTCTGTGCCTCAATTTTCCTATCTGTAAAATGAGGATAATAATACTGATCTCTTTTGTAAAGTGCTTTGAGATATATGGCTGAAGAGTGCTAAATAAGAGCTGAGTCTGATCATCATCTGGCAGCTATTAACTCCAAATTAGATGCATCTTATTTTTTCAGAGAGGTCTGTCACTTCAAAACCATCCTTCTCCTCTCAAGAAAAGTCAGCTACTTCCCACACCATTTACTGAAGCAGGGAAAGACAAGAGTGGTTTGATGCCCTCCCTGAACTGCTAATAGATAGGGTCTAGTCTGGGACAACTATCTCTTCCAAACACACTCCACTTGTCCTAGGAACCCTTGTTTTCAACCCTGGCCTTAAACAGTAAGATTAGCTCTACCTAGGTACTTTTATAAACTCCATCACTGTAGAATGTGAGCTCAGATTTCCAGAGGAATCCAATTCTTACCTTCTCCCAGAGATCTTAGCTCGGTCGTCTCTAAAAACTCCAATGAGGCTGCCTCCGGTTTGGAGAGAAACAAGTCAGTGTTAGCAAGAAGAATCCCTGTCACAGCTACGCCAATAGCCCCAAGGCCGATAGACCACATCCCCATGGTGAAGAGCTCCAAGTCTGGCAGGGAAGACATTTCTGGAAATAAGAGGAGGAAGAAAGAATTATTCCAGCTGCTGGATAGATTCCAAGGAGAGGGGAGGGAGAGTTAAGAAGAAGAAGAAGGCGTCAGCCAGTGGTGCCCAACCTTATTATACAGGAGAGCCACATAAACCTAAGCACAACCTTGTGTGGGCCAAACTGATTCTACATATTTTAATAAGATTTAAAGTCACCTGTATTGATTTATATTTTAAGTTCGGCTTGTTTTGTATGTACACCTCTACCCCGATATAACGCGACCCGATATAACATGAATTCGGATATAATGCGGTAAAGCAGCGCTCCAGGGGGGGCGGGGCTGCGCACTCCGGCGAATCAAAGCAAGTTCAATGTAACACGGTTTCACCTATAACGCGGTAAGATTTTTTAGCTCCCGAGGACAGCGTTATATCGGGGTAGAGGTGTATTTAGAAAGAAACAACCTATGTACAGTATTGTCTATTTACATACCTGTGTAAACTAAAATGATGTAAACATGATGACAAAACACGAATGAATCAATTAGTATATTGTGTTGAAGCAGGCTGTGGTCCTTATGAAATACTTTGGCGGGCACCCCTGGATAACACCTTTTGGCATAGGTAAAAGGATGGTCTGATGGTTAAGGAGACCTACGTTCTATTCCAGCTCTAACCCAGACCGCCTCATCAGTAAAATGGGGTATTGTTACTTCCCTGCCTCGCAGGGGTATGAAGAATAAATACAGCCTGCGAGGCAATCAGCTATTATGGCATTCTGCTGTGTAGAATGATTGTTAGAAAAGGGATTCCCTAACTACAGTAACAAAAGATGACATCAGGATTACTCAGCAATGCATGTTAAGCCATTACTGTAAAACATGGCAGACAGTTTAAACCAGTGGGTCTCAAACATTTTTATTGGCAATCCCTTTCACATCGCAAGCCTCTGAGTGCGACCCCCCCCAAATAAATTAAACACTCTTTTTAATATATTTAACACCATTATAAAAGCAAGCAGGGTTTGGGGTGGAGGTTGACAGCTCACGACCCCCCTTGTAATGACGTCGCGACCCCCTGAGGAGTCCCAACCCCCAGTTTGAGAATCCCTGGTTTAAACCAAAGGAGTGTTGGTAGGGCTACAATGGGCCCTGCCTTTTTTTAGTCTTGATATTTTAAAAAAGTTCAGAGGATTTTGCAAGTATGCTACAGTGCGTCTACGAGAGAAAGAACTACAGAACGTCAAGATACAGTTCAGCACAATTGGCTGTCTCTGCTTCAACCCTAAACTGAAGCTGCAGAGTGAGACAGAGCAGATCTGTCAGTTTGGAGCGCTGACGCAAAAACATGTAAGCCTCTGACATAATTCAGATCACTGTATATGACCCAGCCTTACAAATACACTCCAGACAGCACCTACTGCCCGTTAAGGCCTCTGCAATTTAGCCTTGATAACTAGATTCCATTTATCAGTTTGTGCAGACATGTCAGGAACAAACAACTTAACCTTAGCCTGGCTGGTTGAAATAGATAAAGCTGAAATGGAAACAAATTGTGCTGACTGTCCCAGAGGCAGCCACTGGATGTTATGAACATATCTGCACCTCACCAAAACGTTGGTGCCACTCTCTCTGTAGCTCAAATCATTTTATTAAAGGCTAGACATATCCTCCCTGAAGGGCCCCAAACGCCCCATTTTTACTCCTGCCAACATTCAAAGATTCGGCCCAGGCTACCGCTCCTGGCAGTACTGTTTCAGTGAGAGAGCAGCAGTTGTGAACTTTGCACAGAAGCAAATATAAGCCTGTCACTATTGAAGGGAATAGTGGAATCCAACCAATGAACTGAAAATGGTACAGAAAAAAAATTGATTGGATTTTGTTGGTTATGCGTCAAAGTTCTTTGAGGATGGAGATTCCCTGACACCATCTTCCCCCTTCCCCTTTAAAGCTAGACTCTCAGAAGTGGTAAAAAATCCTAATTCCAGAATTGCTAATATTTGCTTCAAAACTTAAAGGAATTTGGAAGCATTTAATCGTTGTTTTGTTTTTCTTGTGCTGCATTGAGTCTCAGCCTCTTACATATCTTGTATTTCAGGACACTGAATGGGAGACAAGGCTGGTTTACACAAACGTAGTGCAGATAAGAGAGCAAGGTCTAGCCAGTTGCATCTCTTCTTTCCAATATAGAAGTCTTCACTTGATGTTAACCCTGATTTCCCCTATGTGGGTTTTTAGATGCAATGGCTTTTCAACCTAAGGCCATATCAGGACAGTGATTTTTAAATTAGTGATCATCTGTTGAAACTGGCTGGCCAGTGAATGTAGTTTACTAAGGCCATTTTAGAAATGGTCTGTAAAACTCTGAAAAGAAATTAACTGAGTCAGAGACCAACTCATTATACAAACTGCTAGAGCTTGTTTGTATAATGTAACCTGATATTGCAATAAGTATTGAGAGGTCCCTTGAGAGATAAGATTTAGTTGGGATCCCCACTGATCCATCACTCTGCTCCACTGAGCTTGTCCTTTCTATCATAAATTAAGAAGTCTACTCTTTAGGTTTGAGTCTGGTCTGGTCCTGTGTAATTAATTATTACCTGTGTGGGTGGTGGATGGTAAAAGTGGAGGATAACACCCACCAGCTCCTATCTTGCCAGACAGGAGAAGCACAATTCTTGATTCCTCAGATGATTACTGCTAGTGGCTGGGGCAGATTATCTTTCAAGAACAAATGTAATTTTAAAAAAATTTCCCCACGAACCACTATCACGTCTTTAAAAACCATGGTCAGATCAGCAGCAGGTATAAATGGAGCTATGCTGATTTATACACACTTCAGATCTGGCCTGTAGTTTACAATTCTATGAGGAGTGATTTTCGTTCCAGTAGAAAGGACAGCATTAGCCTGGACCAAGAGACAAAACTTTTTCAGCTGTACTGGGTTCATTTTGATGTTTCTTTCTTGGCTAACAGAAAGGCTGTTCTAGAGAAACTAAGAGCAAACCTGCTGATCAAGCAAACAGGGGCATGGAAGAAATAGCTCACTCCACAATAACATGAAACTCCTGCTTCTGCTCAGCTGAGCGGCATCAAACAGTGAAGTATACTAAATAATGCATATGCACAGCAGCAACTACCATGATCAATAAAACACTAGCAGACAGAAAAGCTTGAGCCCTGAAACATCTGCTCTACTGCTTAGAAAGTTAGAGATAGTTTTCTCTTTAGTCTCACTGCCCATATGCTGTAGCATTGCTTTCTCTATTTCCACAGATCAGTTGCAGCTTTTGTAATGCCTCTCAAAGTGGTCCAAAGCTCCACAATATTAATGCTTTTTGATTCAAAGCCATGAGGAGTTTTACATGTAAAAACCCCAAAGCATCCCATAATAGCAGACTGTTAATATTTTAGAATAATGCACTCACCAGAACCCATGGGGCCAGTGTGCACATACACCTCACCAACTTTAACACTTGAACTCCATTTGAATCAGGAGAGAAACGGGAATGGTCCAGGGGAGAAGGCAGACAGCTACTGTGTGCTACTGCTGGTCCTGAGGAGGTTCCTTAGGCTGTTCCTTCTAAAGAAGGCAGATTAGGTGGGCAGGACTAGGCAGGATTCCAGCAAGGAAACCTTTATGTTACTGCCAGTGCGTAAGTCAGAACGTTTCTGAGCAATACTCATCACATTCAAATGCGGTTGGATTACAAGATAACAGCTGTCCCTCAAGAGATGAGACTGCTTAAAAAGGTATTCCGTTTAAGATGCTGAGAAGTTGAAGTCATCTAGGTTATAATGTTACTCTCTTAGGTAGTGGTGGTGGGGGAGGGTCACAGGCAGCCCAAGGGAACACCATAGCATTGAGGAGAGGGTTCTGTACTATAATGCTTCATGCAGAATTGTTATTGAGGATTTTTAATGGTAAATATTCAACTCCTCATGTTTTGTTCATGTTTTAACCTCCCCTCCTCCATGGACTGATAAAGCAATTCTGTGACTCTGGAAACAAAGCAGCGCTATTGGAAGGAAGGTTCAACAACATACAAGACCAAGTTTTCAGAACTGGCTGCCTAAATCACAGAGTTAACCCTACTGTGTATGCGTCAGGTTACCAGTATTGCCTGAAGCTTCCATTCACTACAGAGTGACAGGTATTGTCCATTCACAGATATTGTCGGGGCCATTGTATGGACTGAATGACGACAGGATATATGATTTGTATGATAGAGACAGTTTTCTTTAAAAAGTACGCTCAATCAATAACTCCCTCCCCCCACTCCTTTGTTGGGATCTCACGTTGCTCCTGATGCTGCAGCCATCTACAGTATGCAATTAGCCATCTTCGAACATGCTTGTGCTCAGACCAGAGCAGGTCCAGATAACTTGTTGGTTAAAATGCCAGCTAATGCTCTACAATGTATAATTTAGTTGTGAATAAGCCTCTTTTGTGTGTGCCTCTATGTGTGAAGAAACCAGGCTAACACATGGTTCTCTAACTTTAATTTAAAAAAAAAAAAACAAAAAAAAACCCAAAACAAAAACAAAACAAAAAAAAAAAAAAACCCAAAACAAAAAAAAAACAAAAAAAAAAACTTTCCCATATGGACAGAAGAGGAATTGAATTAAGTGTTATCAAATATCACAGCCATCTTTAAACAATTACTTTTGTAATGTATCCAGGGCATCTGCAGGTGAGATGACCACACCAGAGCATAGCCACTAACCTTCACAAACACACATGCGTAGCCAGTTTTCTAGAAGTCTTACCAAATAAACTCTTGCTGCACATTACCAGATCTATTGTGGACTGCCACTCTTTCTACCACAAGCATTCAGAGATGCAACATAAAAACAAATGAGACAACTGAAGATAACCTTTTAACAAATTGTTGAGGTGTGAACATAAGTGGTTCTCCCACCATGGAGAAGATTTTTATTCATTACTGTTTAAGAACTTTCTCCCTTTAGCAGGTCATTTCCTGTATCAAGCATTCTGGTCAGCTAGGCTTTTATACAGCACTCATCAGCATAGCATCTAGTCCAAGAGAACTCCATTGTTAGGGTTACCATACGTCCTCTTTTTCCCGGACATGTCCGGCTTTTCGGCACTCAAACCCCCGTCCGGGGGGAATTGCCAAAAAGCCGAACATGTCCGGGAAAATGGCGGCTCTGCTCCTCCCCTGACTCCTCGGCTCTTAAACAGAGCCGA